TTCAGCCCACTTTCCTCTCAAAGTTTGGGAGGGGAGGGTGGAGCACGAGTTGAGGGGGGAGGGAGTTGTCCTCCAAGCCGAAAAGGAAACTGTACCCCTGCCGCCCTGCAAGTGCGTAGCTTTGCAAAATGAGGTAGGGCGAGCTGAGCCATGAAACATGGCGAAGGCTGCCCACAAGATACAACAGACAGAGTTATTCCACGATTCAGTTTCAGTCATGTTCAGCTATACCAAGCGAGGTCATACAAGGTCACGTAGAGAGATTAATACCAATGTGGAGCTGCCACATCACAATTATTTGTGTTGTGATAATTAAGTCGGTGCAACGCCCAGGTTTGCAAGCCAGGTACCTCTATCCAGTAACTGGACAGAACACAAAGCAGACTCACATGTACATGTAACATGTCACAACACCCCACATGTACTTGTGAACGCGAGGGCGTGGTGCCTGCTCGTGTGCACCAGCCTGGCTAAATTGCTCCATGTACACATAACCCAAGACCGAGATCTGCTCGATGGCGATCTCCCTCGCTGCGTTAGCCCTAAAGCAGCAGTCGGATTCGCGCCGATGAGTTTTGCGCGCTATTGCCAAATATAATTTAAAATTCTGCCGACGTGGCGCATATGCCATTTCCGTTGGTATCGAATTGGTGACGCTTGTTATGCTTGCGCATCATGTTCTTCTGAATGCTTGGATGCTTGTGCTCCTTCTCAACAATCAAAGCCCGAAACTCCGCGTCAGCCATCAGTCATCAGATGATCACATCGGCTAGCCGGCTGGCTGTAAATTTCCTTGGAATGAAGTGGCGTGCTTGATTTCATGGCATTAGCTGCCAACTTTTGTTCATATTGCCATAGATTCTTCATATAATTAGGCTCAATATGGCAGGATCATCCGTGCCCTTGAGAGAATGAGCGTGCCCACGCATGTGCATACGTAGCACGTCTAGTTTCCAACGGTTTCGCACAGGAAGATGGGATCCAGGATTATAATTGTCATATATTAAAAAATTTGGAAATGTTTTGGCCAGAATACGAAAAATTGCAGGGGCCCCAAACTCCACAGGTGGTTCACAATTTGTCGCACCCTTTAGCCCTTAAGACCCTTTGCTGGATTCAGCTAGGTCCTCTCTGTCAATCAGAAGGGTCCTGGTCTGGATTAGGAGCCCTCTTTATGTATCAGAAAGCTGCATTATGACGCAAGATAGTCGACATCGGCAAGATGTCTTGAAATAGGAGACCCTTCGCTGAATCGGGAACAGGCACGCAGCCAGAGCCTTGGCAAGGGAGGGGCGCAAGGATAACGGGGGGCCTCTGATAGTAAAAGACCCTCCTTCAAAAAAAAATCACCGAACATAGCTCAGTTATTAATGCGCGCTTGGGTGGCAGGCTGAATATCCCTCGCTCGAGAAGTCAATTTGACCTCTTCTTAAGATTTCAGAAACTAAGACAGCTACAGACGCCAAAGTCACTGGGTGTGTTAGCAAGTACGTAAACTCATGTGTGTAACATCTTTAGGTTCCTAGGTCCTGACCTTCAGGTCAAATAAGGTCAAACAAGGTCAAACTTCAGATTTGTGTTTAAAGTGTCCCCAGAACCTAGATACTTGTCCTAAGCAAATGGTCACTGATGCTTGGTGCTCATTTAAAGTCCGTGACCTTTTTGATGTAAAGTCATGGTAACCGCAATCCTACAAGACCGCTTTGGATTGTGCATTTGAATTAGCGTCAAAGCCTACGCTAGGCAGCATACTCCTAAAAAAAAAATGTTGACCTGGATCATTTTCGGTTGGTAATTTGTTCTGACCTTTAAGTGGTTCATGAAATATTATAAGACCTTTTCTGTTATGAATACATTTGAAATAAGGACCAGAAACTGCTCCATTAGAAGAAATTCGGGCTTGTGCTCCTCGTGTGTAATTTTTAGATCGACGAATCGAACGGATTATCCTTCGCAGCATCACTTCGTGTAGCTGGAATCTGGTGGTAAGATTGAAGGGTAAAGGTAGAATCGCTATCTTTTGTGTTGTTATAGTTGTTAATCCGTCCAGAGCGCGACCTCAGTTTTGAAAACATAAGCTCGGTCTACTCTGTAAAGGGACAAATAGATGTTTTAAGACATTGGGAACCATTCCCCCACGTTTGTTCTCGCGCACGGCAACCGCCGCCTGGTGTTACTTATAATGGTCAACGCTGTTTGGTTTTACGGAAGCTGCAACCCAGGCCATCGCTGCTGTTGCTTCCGAGATTGCGGGCTCACAGGCTCAAACCTTTTGATAATTTGTTTCACTAGTTGATTCTGCAAGATAATGAACGCTCGCAGGCAAACATGGGATGGTCTCGTTCGTTTTTTAACTCATTTCCACCCACTCTTTCAAAATTTATTGGATCCGTTATCTTTTCAGGCAAAGGGCTCCTGAGTAGAACACCAGGGGACACATTAATGTTGCCGGTCAAGGGTTGAAGGACCATTTCGTCCCAGCGCGGGATGTCTTCCGGCTACCACTCTGTCGACACGGAGCGAGAATCCCTGGCTGATCCGGAGGCCCTTAGAAAGATACATCATACACTTTTGATCCCCTCCCAGACGCGGAAGGCCTTCTGCCCCGAACAGATCGCAGTTAGTCCCGGATCAACGCAGGAGCCCTCAATGACGCAACAAAATCTCCGGTCGCCGTAGGTGGTCTAATAATTGGCACATAAACTCCAGTTCGGCTTAACGGCCCATGCTGGAGTTGGGTTGGAGGGCCCACTGTTCAGTACTGGGGGCCCTGACCGGCACAGGACCCTTCCATTGCCTCAACGTGAACAATGATCATAAGCTCTCGTGTTCCCTCTCATCGTCAAAGAGCCCGACCAAAGCAAGAGGCCTCTGTCCTTCAGTGTCCCGTCCCCGTCCCAGTTCACAGATCTTCCCCTGGCCGATTCGAGGCCCCTTGTTGATGCAGGATACCCTGTTAGCCACTACGGACCCCTGAGCGATATAGGAGCCCGACCCATGTAAATCGTCCGCCCGACATTGTCCGGTCTTGGGAAATGGGTATCCAGAGCTTAGACCAACACGGAGCCCACTGTTCGTTGTTCGTGATTATTGGCCGAACTTGAGGAACGAAGTAGGGGTACCTATCGCCGTGTAGGGATGCATCTGAAATCTTCTCCTGACTGAATCGAAGCCCCTTGTGGATACTGAATACCCTGTTAGGTACTGTGGATCCCTGAACGATACAGGAGCCTCGAATTGTTGCAGGGGCCCTGACCAATGCAAATCGCGGGCCCGATCGTGTCGCTGCTTGGGAATGGTCCCCAGGGCTCAGACCGGCACGGAGCGGACTGTTCGGTGTTGATGATCTCTGTCCGAAACAGTTCCTGGATGACACGGGGACCCTTGCCGCCACAGGACCCCTGTTGGGCACTGTAGCCTCTGACCGACACAGGAAGCCCTCAGGGCGTCAGGAAACCCGAACATTGCAAATTCTGGCCCCCGACCCGGTTCCTGCTTGTCAAATGGGTGGGTCTCCAGGGCTCGGATGGGCGTGGAGACGGCTGTTTGGCTCCAAGTCAAGGTCTGATATGACAGGGGTAGAGAACACTTGTAAGAGGGCCCTTCATAAAAGCCCCCGACTCATGTTTCAGGTCACGGCACCACGGGTGGCGGGTGGGGGGGGGGGCTTAAGTTCCATCGGGTCCTTGATCTTTGGTGCCAAGAAGACCTTCGGCCCCTTTTCGGACCTCCTCAAACAAAGCCCGTGACGGACCAGGGGTCGCTAGCCGACACGTGACGTCCTGGTATGTACTGTGGGTCCCTGACTGACACGCGGGCACCATCCACTGTTTCAGGAACCCAGAACAGCGAAAATCGTGGCCCCGGCCTTGCTACTGCTTCGGAAATGGGTCCCCAGGGTTCATGCTGAAAGGAAGCCAACTGTTCGGTGTTCGTGGTCTCTAGCCGACTTAGACATCCGCAATGTCTTAGGGAGTCAGCAACCGGTGCAAACTAACTCCTGACTGATATTTCAGGCCACGATCCTACGGGCCGTGATTCTCCATGTGAACTACAGCCAGTCCTTCGGGCCCTTATGCCCTGCAGCTGGGCGTTTGATAGCTGGTGCCGTTGGGCCACTCGAGCCTCTCTTCGAACCTCGTTGATCACTGCCCTTGGTGGGCTCTGGGTCCCTTGCAAGCCCCTTGGCCCTTTACAAGGCCCCTGACAGATAAAGGGGCCCCAATCAGTGTGAATCTTTGGCCCCGTCTTGCAGCTGATTGCGAAGTGTGCCCTCAAGCTCACGCCTGCACGGTGCCGACTGTGCGGTACTGGTGGTGCCTGACCAGCATCTAGACCCTTATCGACTCAGGGTGTCCGTGACCGGCGCAAAGGGTCCTCTGACTGTCATTTGAGGGTCCGCTCCGCAGGCCGGGATATATGGGTAAGACTCCGACCAGCCTTTCGTGTCCTTAGACCCTCCTGTCGAGCCCTTGATTGTCTGACCCGTTGGGGCCCTCCAGGCTCTACGGGCCTCACGTTCTTCAAGCATTGTCTCTGGCTGACGTGGGGCCTCTTGATAGCACAGGGCCCCCGTTACGCGCCGTGTGGCCCCGATTAATGTAAATCGCTGGCTCCGGCTTCGCCCCTCCTTGGGAAATGGCCCCTCAGGTCCATGCCACCACGGAGCTGACTGTGCGTTGCTGGTGATGCCTGACCGCTATATAGGCCCTTATCAACTCAGGGGCACCCGATTTGCGCGCGAGGCCTTCTGGCTGGCATTAGGGGGCCTGGCCCTGCAGGCCGGGGCCCTTCAGTACGATCTCCAGTTGGTCTTTCGGCCCCTTAATTTAAGATCTCAAGGAGCCTGAAGGGTTTCTCGGAAGTTTACGCGATAGTTTGCATAATTCTTTGCGTGCTGTACGCCAATCCACCTGCCGTCAAATTCTTAATGACGTCATGATATCCGCGTGGCAGACGTAGTCAAAATGTGGCTATCACACCTTCTACCGGAATGCGCAACCCTGAGTCACTCTGATGGGGAGAATTGTTGGACCGGGCAGCCTGCGGGTCTGTTGCGCATTTGATTCACGTTCATTGTTGAATGAATTATCCGACACTTATCACCGAGAAATATCGATGCCGATCGTGTCTCCCTGGCGGCTGGATAAAACCACAAAGGGTTTCCAGCAGTTAAACAGTGCACGACTGTCAAAGGTGCTTGCGTCCTCAATGCTGACGTTCATTTCGTGGGGTTGCATCTGAGAAACCAGGGATGCTCAATTTCATAGAAGCGTGCAAATGTTTGAACAGGTAAGGACAATTTTATTGAAAAGCACTTGTTTGCCTTGTAGTAGTAGTTTGCTTCTAGTTGTGCATGCCACACAGGTTTGGTGCTGGTTTCCTCAGGCATCTGGCTAAGATTCCTTTGTTTGTGAAATGCAGTTTTGCCACAAACAGCAGCTTTTTCGAACCAAACAAGTATCCTGAGGTATTTTCTGTTGTCATAGAGTATCATTGTGGAGGTGTAGTCCTACCATGCTGAGCCAGGGATTCAATTACATGCAGTAACATGGGGTGTGATGACCTTAAGCTATTAATTTTCATGGCTGGTATGTGTTCATGTGATACTGTGATAAGTAAGGCTAGCGACTTTGAGATAATTCTGTTTGTTTTGGTTACTTGGCAGTGGTTTCATGTTTTCTTGAGTAAGCTGGCTTTTTAAATTATTTGTTGTGTATTTCAGTATTTTGCATTGAACTACCAATATCATAACTTTTTATTTGGATTACTAAAGAGCCCAATTATTATCACATCATATCATATGAATTATATCATATCATAATTATTACCAAGAGCATGCCAGGCAGTTACTTTTATCACTTAAGTGGTGACATTATGGAACTCTGAAATCTTTTGGTATTTGAATAATGAATGGCTTAAGTTTTATGTACTTTTGAATTGCCATGTTATTGAATAACTGATGGAATAATGACTGAGTAAGATAATAGTATAAGTCATATTCCTTGGAAAACTAGGAGAACTGAGATATGGTTGGGCTGATATTTCAGCAACAAGCCTTCATTGAAACCAGAGCACAAGTTTTGCTTCAACTTGTGCTCTTGTTTTGATGAAGGCATGTTGCTGCAATATCAACCCAACTATGTCTCTATTCTCCTGGTTTTCTGAGGAATAGTTCTAATACTGCCATCTTATCCATGTGAATAATGTTCCTCACTAATGCACTGAACAACTTATTGAATAATGACTGATTATATTTTAATGAGTATTTAGTCAAACATTCTAGTTTAAAGTTTGTTAGTGTTGATGCTGCATAAGCAAAGAGATGGTGATAATGTGGGATGCCATATGCAGGTGTCTTACCAGCTTAATGGAATAGGCAGTTTTACATAATTGAGCCATCAGCATGCACCCTGTAAGGCCTCTGATTTTCCTTTGCAAACTGGAGGGCAAACCATATCTTCAAAGCAAAGCACATCTTCCCGGATGATTTTAAGCACTGAAAGCTAGGAGCACAAAGTTGTTATGTGGTGTAGTACAAACAAAATATATTCATATTTGTTTCAGTCATCATTGTTGGTTGTTGCATTGCTAGGCTGCAAATGTAATATTATTTGAGCTTACTACCACACTTGATAAAATACACAATGGAAATGCTTAGAAGACATATGTATTGGGCCCATATCACCATGCATTATTGGTTCATTGCACTATTTTCACTAGCACCTGATAGCTTTTAGTCACTAACTAAATGTTTTAAGATAAATTGTATGTGTCTTTTCAAACTACACCTTATGTTTTCAACTCTTCAATCTTAACACACTTTAAATCAGTAACTATCTCAGCTGAAGACACTCAACACAAAAAATAATCCATATATGTCTTTTGTATGGTTATATTCAATATGTAGTGCTATGGAGGGAGGTCAAGAAGATACTCATTAGGCTGAAAAGGAGAAAAATTAGATGACATGCTTGTGATTTTGTATGTATGTACCTTGAAATGTGCTATAGAAAATTGTGAAATGTCTATCTTTGTGATGCAATCATTACCTCGAACCAAGTTTGAGAAGAATCATGTGACAAGTTTTTTCATGGTTGCCTGAAGGTATATCCAATTTTTGTAAATGCCTGGCTTTGATGGGCCATTCATTGTTAAGAATCAATATATATGTTACACCTTTAGTCATTCAGTGATGAATATTTAGTGTTGCTAATAAAATTCTTATGACAATTTATCTGGTGTGTGTCAAGGGAATTATTTATCTGCAAGATGCTTGTAGGTCATAATTGAATGACATGGATGGCTCACAATAGCAAAGATTGTTTGCAAGGACATGATCATTGGCATTGGTGGAGTTGTCTTTTGGTGCCTGTGCACTTAGTGAACAAGCAAAGCAACAAGCCAAGAAGAAGGAAGCCTATGCAAGGTGACTGCCCTGTGATGTGCTGGGTCGGCGGGTGTGTACGTGGATCAGCTGGAAGTCGTGAGGACGTCCCAGGACTCATGTGTGGGGGGCGATCGCCGCTCGCTCGGCGCGCCCGTGTCCGGTGGCGGAGAGCCTTCAGAGCCTAAGTGCGGCCTCTGTTTTAGGTGCTAGTGGCGCGGACCGCGTAGCCGGGGACGCCAGGGGGCGTGCAGCACCTGCAGCCGGCCGGGAGAGGCTCCACCGGCCGTCCGATGGGGGGCACGGTGTCGCGCGCCGGACGCACCCTGTTCGGCGGCGAGTCGACCGGGGGGCGGCCGGCGGCCGGCGACGCTGGCGCCGCCATGCGGCCGCTGCGCACGGCCACGGCCCTCGTGCTGACGCGTCGCGGCTCCATGTACCTGGATGAGGACGGCGACCTGGCGCACGAGTTCTTCGAGCAAGTGCCGGCCCGCCAGCCGGGCAGAACGCGCATGCGCCGCGTCAACGTGCGCCGCCTGCGGCCGCAGGGGCTGGTGCGCTACGGGGTGCCGCGGCTGCACGTGGACTTCCCGGTCGTGCTGTACCGAGACTGAAGCGGCGTGATGCTCCTGGGGCCAGACCGGACTCCAGTGACCGCCCGTGCAATCAGGAGAGGCGTGCAGGGATCTGGCGCGCGCGCCGTGGCAGGTTGAGCTGTGCGGCTAGTCCGGCCTAGGTACGGCGCGCGGCCAGCAGCGCGGTGATAAACAGCTTACTCAAGCGCATTGTGGTATAATTTATGGACGAATGGAGCGGCGCGTCGGGATGAACCGCCTCGCAGCGTGCTGACGTAATGGGTTGCCACTTAATACAATTTCTGTACGTTCGTGCGGCGGTAAATATTCGTTGTAGCGGTGCATTTATGGTTCAAGTTTTTTGGTAGTTGTGCTGCGTTGTAGTACTCCTTGTTTGAAACGCTAAGTGTTTGCAAATAGAGCTACATCTGCTAAATTTACGTCCGGGCGCAGTGAGCGGTTAAACATCCAAGTTTCTTTCGTCAGCGGGGTTCATTCCGCCTGCTTGATGTGGTTCTGTAAACTGCATCGGGTCACTCCTCGACAAAGATCAATGTTCGCAAAAGTTGTTCGTACCGATCATTGATCTGTGTTTGCACGCGTGGTTGTGTCCTACGATCGTACATTACGGTTGTGACTGGTGTGCGCGGCCCCTGGTGCGATGTAACGGCGTGGAGCCATATCCTTGGTGAACGGCGAATAGAATACACGGAAATGGCCACATGCTTCTTTGAATGGCTCCGTGGTAAGCTGACGAGCTGCGGCCTCCAGACTTGGGACTTGCTTGGGCGTATGAGCGTCTGCAGTCTTGTACGGATGACATGAGTCGCGTGTTGAGGACGGGCAGCGGCCCCTGGCTGATGGAACAACCTGTCTGCTGTTCTCTCACCTCGCCTGCTGTTTTCTGCACTTTGCACTTTGGGCTTTGCACTCTCCTGCACGGTCCGGTTGTAGAGCACTTGTGAAAGTACCGCGGCAGGTGCCAATGTAGAACGCTTGAGAGAGAGCACCACGGCACAGAAACGTCATCGGTGAAGCACAGCCAGCGCCTCGCGTGGCTGATGAAGTTCTCTGTCGTGCTGATCGCTGTTGGTTGTGTGGCCCCAAAAGGAAAGCAAATCGTATATGAATTGAAGAGATCGTGGCGGGTTACGCTTTTCGGACACTGAGCCTGATAAGACTAACGAACCCACTCTTAGCCGCGAAGGCTCCTGCATTGGCCGGGAAAAGGCACTGGAAACGTTAGGCGTACAGTGTGTTGGTTGCATGAGTGCACACTTTTTGTATGTTGAGAAAATCACGTCGGTTTATCAGGAAAAGGTACGCAAGTTCGCTGTCGCTGATTAAAATGTTTTGTTTTGAATAGTAAACAATAAATCTGGGCCCAAGATATACTCGAGCCATGAACTAAAATGTCACTCAGCTAAAACAGCACAGCTGGAGGGCCTGGCCTCGTCTACCCCAACGCCAGGCCCTGCCCGGTGATCGCACGTGGCCGACCGTGCTGTCCTGACGGCCGGCGCCCTCCGACAGACGCGCGTGCTGAATGCCCTACTGCCGCCCTGCGCCCTGGTGGCCGTGGCTGACCTGGTGGCCGAGCCGGCGGCGCGCCGGCTCTCCGTCTCGCAGTGCGGCCGCGGCGAGCACACTTACCTGCCGGCCGAGTCGCTTGAGCCGCCCTCGCCGCCGCAGCCGGCACCGCGCGCTGCCTTCGCCGACCGCCCGGCCGGCGCCGAGCCCGCGGACGGGTCCGAGGAGCGTGGGGCGAGCACGGCGGCCGGGGCGGCGCGAGGTACCCCCACGCCGCCCCAGTACTCGGCCGTCAAACGAGAACAGAAGGTGAGCGGGCCAGGCGCGGTGGTGTTACCGCTCGGCTGGGAGACCTTGTTTAAGTGCCCGATATGTACTCGGCTCACTTGTACATTAGCGTTTGTGGTTTGGTGGAAGAGGCTCCTGCGTTAGCAACTGGGGGCCTGTGCTTGAGGCGACAGTAGCTTTGTGAAAGTCTCAACCGCTATACATGTGCTGAAAGTGTCTCACTAATTGGTTGAATTATTAATACGGGAAGAGTCAGGTTAGCGAGTTCCACTGTTCGGCCGCCGTCACCACGGCTGGAGGAGATGCGCAGGACAGGCTGCGTGTTTCAAGATACATCGGTCTCGAAGGTTCTGCTCCGTAGTTTCAGAGTGTGGACGATCTGAACTCGGCGTCACCGCCCCGCGGCCACTCGCGGCTGCACGTGTCGGCGCCCGATCTGAACCTGCCCGAGGACGGCGCGGTGGCGCCCGCTGCGCCCCGCCTGGTGGCGCCACCGCCGCCCAGTTACGCGCCGCCGGCGGAGGATCCCCGGGCGACGCCTGGGGCGGGGGACCACCGGCCGGCCGACGCTCAGGCCGTGTACGACGCGCCCCGCCAGCAGACTACGGTGAGATGCATCACAAGACAGGGAACTTGACTGGCTGGATGTGGTTCAGCAGTAGCTTTGTGTGAACAATTCTGGAATCGCCCAAGCAGCAAAAGATCTTAGAGATCTGACAGCAAGAGATCTTACAGCCGAGAAACTTTCTGCGAAGGGTGATGTTTTCTTTCAAGCATGGTCTTTTCGGTGACTTACTACACTTGCGTGTGGTATGGCCGCCTAGCTGGTTCCAGATGCCATTCAGTCATCAATCAGCTCTTGTTCTGAAGCGTTATCTTGTAGTGTGGCCAGTAAGCATCAGGTCACGCATGCTTCCTGCAATGAGAGGAACCCAACACCTACTGGTGACAAGCGGGTCTACCGAGCCGGCGACCAACTGACAGCCTACCCCGGCGCCCGTGTCCAGATGGCTGTACCCGTGGACCAGCTAGTGGAAGAGATAGCGGTACTGCGTCGGGACAACTACCAGCTGCGTCATATGGTGCAGCAGGCCCAGGCCAGCCAGCACGCCGACAGCCGCAGCGGTGCGTCACCTCAGCAAAGTCGTCTTGCAGTGCCGCGGCATCGCCATAGGCTAATGCCCATTCCCTCCGGTTTGTGTGCTATTGCCTTCGCATTTTGTGAAGTTTCCCGTACCTTAACGAAGTAGTGTTCAGACAATTTGAATTCATCGGAAGCAATGTACAGGGAGATTAAAGCGAAACATGAAATCAAGACATTAATCCAATCTATTGAACGTGAGGGAGGCCGGGAAATAATTCAGTGTCAACGTCAATCACCCAAACAAATCCTTGGTTTTCCTCACTTGCAGCGCCCGTTTTGCAGCACCCTCCCCATGCCAGTGCTTGCAGCGCCACGTTACGCGCTGCCTGACGATATCGGCCTGTGCTTCGGTTGTCTCCCGCCACTGGGATACGCCGCGTATGAGCCCGCGGTCCTGGTGTGACCTGGCGTGACCTTACGCGGCATGGCGTCTGACCATCAGCGGAGCATGCGGAGGAGAGCCGGCGCCGCCAGGAGCGCGAGCAGCGGACCGCGCGCCGCCGCACGGCCGGCCTGGAGCGCGGCGCCGACCGGCTGGCGGAGACAGGGCGCCGTCTGGCGGCCGAGAACGCGCAGCTGCGAGCCACGCCGAGCCGCCAGGTCCGCCGTCAGAGGGCTGATCGCCGGACAGCGGGGGTCGCTGGGGTGGTCATTGGTGGAGGGAGGGGTGCTCGCTAGAGCGCGGTGGTACGATCACCAGAGCAGGGAGTAGGGCTAGTGTTGGAGCAGAGGGGGTACTTACTGGAGCGAGGAGGGTGCTCGGTAGAGCAGAGGCGGTGTTCACTGGAGCGGGGTGGGGTGCTCATTGACCAGAAAGGGACGCTTAATGGGCCGGGGAGTGTGTTCACGGGACCGGAACGTTTGTTCACCAGGCCGGGGAGTGTGCTCGTAGGGCCGAGGAGTGTGCTCGTAGGGCCGGGGAGTGTGTTCGCTGGGCCGGAGAATGTGTTCACCGGGCCAGGGAGTTTGCTCGCTGGGCCGGGAAGTGTGCTCGTAGGGCCGGGGAGTGTCTTTAACAGACCGGAAAGTTTGCTCGCTGGGCCGGGGATGTGCTCGTAGGGCCGGGAAGTGTGTTCACTGGGCCGGGGAGTGCGCTCCCAGCAGCTGTTCCGGCTCGGCGCCGGCTACGTTGTCTGACCGTGCGCGGCGGCAGGACTCGGCCGTGCTGCGTCAGCTGGTGGTGCGGCTCAGCGAGCAGCTGTCCCGCCGGCTGGGGCGGCCGCCCGTCGACCCCGGGCTCCTCAGCACGCTGACCGACGCTCGGCGCCTGCCGCCGCTGCTGGACGCGTATGATCAGGTTCGACCACCTCCGCTCAGTCAGGGACCCCGGTCCGACTTACCATCAGCTGGATGATCTCGGGCTAGACTGAGCATTCTTCGGTAAAGAATAGACATTAATAATGACCATTGTGTAGAGTATATTACATCTGCAGCTGAAGGTACCCCGAACTCTGTTGCTGGGTTGGCCACTAATTGTCACTGGATGTTGAACGAATCATTTTGTTAATGCCTAGCTTTCTTTCATATGGCATGGGATGTATTCTGTGGTTCTAGAGTCTTTACGATGTAAGTGACGGCCCGGCCCTGCTCTCCTCTTGGAACTGAGCTGCTGAGCCAGAATTATACCGTGCATCGTCCTGCGTAGCCGAGCCGGGCCGCACCGGTGTTCGAGCCGGGCCGCGTCGGTGGCCGAGCCCGGCCGCGTCAGTGGCCGAGCACGGCCACGTCGGTGACCGAGCCCGGCCGCGTCGGTGTCCGAGCCCGGCCGCGTCGGTGACCGAGCCCGGCTGCGTCGGTGGCCGAGCTCGGCCGCGTCGGTGACCGAGCCCGGCCGCGTCGGTGACCGAGCCCGGCCGCGTCGGTGACCGAGCCCGGCCGCGTCGGTGACCGAGCCCGGCCGCGTCGGTGACAGGTCGCCACTTCGTCAGGTGGTGGCGGAGCTGACCGAGCAGGCCGACACGCTGCGCTCGCAGCTGAGCGAGCTGCGCCGCCAGCTGGACCAGGTCACGGACGAGAACGAGCGGCTGCACACGCAGGCGGCGGACGCCCAGAGCCAGGTGGGGCGCCAGGAGCGCGCGCGCCGTCGCTGGTGGAGCCGCGCGCCACAGCCGCTGCCCGGCCCTGTACCGCCGTGGATTGGTCACCTCGTGCAGCGGGAGAGGAGGCACATGCCTTTCACTGGTTGCAATCAGTGTGGTGAAAACTGGTGGCGTAAATTTGCGTTGCCGCTGTGTTATGCATTGCCCCGGCCTCTGCAGAAGCGTTCCACACCATGGTATTCAATTCCGCGAACGGTACTGTAGCGTGACTTAAACGATTTTCTCGCCGCATTACATGATTGCCTGGCCCTTCTTTGAACGCCATACTGTGTGTCCGTTCTGTGCTGCACGCCGTGAGCACTTGGAGCAAATGTTCGCAAAGTTGCTGGTTCAGTTCGCATAGCAGCCGTATTTATACTTTCAAGAACAAACTCATGCGTATTCCTCCACTAGGGTGACACAGGGGCCCATTCCTGTCCTCCGGCTGCTTGCTTGTGGTTGTTTGTAATACGAGTATGGATTTTAGGAACTTGTTGGTTTTTATTCATAACATAAACTAAAAAATAGCACCACGGTGGAGCTCGTTTCAGTTAAAACACTTGGTAGGCGTCAGCCAGTGAACAAATATGCTCCACTGACCTTGAGGCAGTCTTTTGACCTGCCCGGGCGGCGTGTATGGCGGGAGCGAGACCGAGCCCCGTCTGCCGCCGGCACGGGCGCCGTCCTGCGCCCGCTCAGGCAGCTAAACCCGCAAACAGGCCCCCGATGGCAGGCGCCCCTGTTAATGACGGAACGCCCCTCAGCAGGTTTTTTATCCAGGTCAAGTCCAAAGACGCATTATGGATTACGGCGGAATCCATCATATGCTGTTCGGTGTTGATCTAACTTCTCACAAAAGCCGTGGCAGGCTGTGCCCACTGCTACCCGATCTATGCCGTGCTGTGGTATGTTTAGCTCAATGTGAACAAACAAAAATATTGATACCACCCTCCCAGAGATGGCAAGAAGAGAGGTTTGATGCGAGCGGTCGCGTGACACTGTCTGTCGACGAGCTACGTGATCGCGAAATACTCAAGTTGATGTCTGCTTATATATGTAAAGTTTTGTTTCTGACTGCCCCTCGTCGTCAGCGTTCTCGCAGGGGCAACGCCAACTTGTCCTTCACCAGACAGCGGCAAAAGCTGCTGTTCGTCAGTTGCTGGACTTGCCCGACCCGCTTTCTCTCCTACATCAGCAGGGACACAAGCGGGATGAGGACCTGAGACGAGTTGGCTGCGCCCACCGCTCAAGATTGTGTCCACCCGTCTGCGCACAGCCAGGACGGCGTCCGCCCCGGCTGTCCGCGCTGTCTGACCGCTCGGTGTCCGCCGGCAGCCGGGCGTCACGCACCAGGAATGGAAGGCCCTCTCGGAGAACGCCCATCTGGTACTGGAGGAGAACGAGCTGCTGAGCAAGCAGGTGCTGATCCAGAAGGACAAGCAGGCCGAGATGATGGCGGCCTATCACGAGAAAGGTCAGCCCTGGGGTGCCGACTCCCCGGCGCCGGGGCTGAACGACTGGCGGTTGGGTGGCTGGACCGGACGGTGCTGCACAGCTGTTGGATAGCCAGCTAGAGCCAAGGAGCAATACGTGACTGCATCTTTCTTCGTCCTCATGTTCTCCTCCTCTTTCGCTTTCCTTTTCTCTTGGTCTAGTCACCACCCCGTGCTACTTTGGTTACCAGTCTCTTATCTTCTGTAGAGTCGGAGCTGATAGCGATACCTCCTCTCTTCCCTCCTGCCTTGAGTACCAGCTTCTCTGTGTGCCGCAGAGTCGGAGCTGACTGCGCGACTCGCGCAGCTGGAGCGGTCTGAAGCCGAGCTGCGCGCCCGGCTGGAGGCCGAGCGGGCGGCGCAGCAGCAGCTGCTGGCCGAGCGCGACCAGCAGCAGCTGGAGCTGGAACGCAGCGTGCCGCGCGACCAGCACGAGCAGGCCGTTGCCGAGTGTCGCAGGTCAGCCGAGCGCGGTCAACCCCGGGCCAAGTCATATGCGCAGCGTGACAAGGGCTGGGTCCGTTTGGGGGCTGTGGTTATTGGGAGAGGGGAATTGGCTACGCGGGTAAAATGTTCGATTTGAGACATAATGTGACGTCTATTTGATGTAGTCCTTCGGAAATCATTTTACGCATCATGTTCCTGATTATCCATTTTCGGAGTTTTGTCTGAAACTGATGTAGTGTGAACAGACAAGTCCTCTTACCTTCAGCGGCACAGTTTTATAGCTGAAAACGTAAGAGGTCCAAACAAAGGATTCGGGATTGCACCGTCACTTCTGAAACTGCCTCTAGAGCCTGGCATCTGCCTCTGGAGCCTGGCGTCTGCCGTTAGAGTCTGGTATCTGCCACTACAGCCTGACATCTGCTACCAGAGCCTGACATCTGCCATTAGACCCTGACATCTGCTACCAGAGCCTGACATCTGCCATTAGAGCCTGACATCTGCCACTAGAGCCTGACATCTGCCATTAGAGCCTGACATCTGCCATTAGAGCCTGACATCTGCCACTAGAGCCTGACATCTGTCACTAGAGCCTGACATATGCCATTAGAGCCTGACATCTGCCACTACAACCTGACATCTGCCACTAGGGCCTGACATCTGCCACTAGAGCCTGATATCTGCCATTGGAGCCTGACATCTGCCATTAGAGCCTGATATCTGCCATTGGAGCCTGACATCTGTCACTAGAGCCCGGCATCTGCCACGTTAAGGCTGACAAATAACTGAGCCACATCAGATATGCTTCACTCAGGCGCCAGCCCCTGACAGCGGACCACAGCACGCGCCTGGCACCTGTCCTTGACCCTGGGTGCGGTCCCGTGCTCCGGAGGTGCGGACCGGACCACCGCTGTCTCGCCGCCGCGTCGCGTGACGGGCGGGCTGCGCGCGGCAGACTGTTCGAGGAGCTGCGCGGCCGCTACACCTCGGAGCGTCTGTCGCTGCTGGCCGACTCGGAGGCGCTGCAGGCAGAGCGGCGCCGGCTGGTGGTGCAGCTCACTGACGCCGCCACCCAGCGCACGGCCGCCGAGACCAAGCTGCGCGCCGCCAACAAAACCGCCGCGTGAGTGGGCCGGGCTGCGCTGCGCAGTTGTACTGCGCCGACCGGCTGCGTGTTCAGTGTTCGGCTCCGGCGTCGCTGTCATGCCGACCGGCTGCCTGTTCAGTGTTCGGCTTCGGCGTCCCTGTCAGCAGCTGGCAGCGGCAGCTGCTGCTGCTTGGCCCTGCCGTCTCCGCTGACGAAAGTCGCTGCCGTCCACAGCCGGCTGGAGCGGCGCCTGGCCAGTCTGCAGGGAGAGCTCGACTCGGCCCTCAAGGTCAACTCGGAGGCTTCCGAGCACCTGGCTGAGGTCAGAGCGTGACTGCCGCCCGGGCGGGCACCATAAGGGCGGGACCGTTTCCAGGTCACGCCTGTGACACGAAGACCGTCGTTGACAGCTTGCGGGACTAGTTACGAACCGTTTAGACAACTTGGATGGTATTCACTACAGCCAGCTTTTTTTAACCAATCGTTCCGCTCAGGTGTGCACTGTCAATGATTTACTGCGAACAGTACTTTAAGGCATGCATGAACGGCCATGGCCTCCTCTCCGCTGGCAATAGTCGGCGGAGACAACCTCCGTGATAAGCGCTGCACCTAAAGATAATCTCAATGTCCCGCACAAGCTGCAAAACTCCATCTGTAACTCGGCGAGCCGGGGCTGTTACCATGCGCTGTCGCTGACCAGCGCCGCACGGCCGGCCGGGCCTCAGGTGCTGTCCGCCACCGATCAGCTGATGGCCGAGCGCAGTCAGCTGTCGCGGCTCAGCACCACCCAGCTGAGCGACGGCGACAAGCTGATGGAGCGCATCAGCGAGGAGCGCGCCCACGCGCTCCGGCTCAAGGACAAGGTCAAGGTCAGTGCAGGTCAAGGGCGCGCACGCGGAATGGTGGTGCGCAGTTTTGGTCAGTTGGATTACGCCTGTCAGCAGCAAGCGGTGGGAAACACATCTGTTGTGGCCTTCGGCTGCCGGATTTATTATATCCAATGAAACTCAGATACGCACGGCACGGTAAAAGTAAAATGGTTGAGACGAAGTTTAGAACATCACAGGCACAAACTGCCATAAACGTGTCGGAATATTCCCTGACGGTCAGCTAGTCACTGCGGGGCTAGATGTCCAGGGACAAAGCCTGCAGCAAGTACAGTAAGTGAATTGGAACGCCTTCGGTGATTATAAGAAACAATAGATAAAGGCGCGTCGGGGTGGCCTGGACCGTATTCGTCTCCTGCCAGCTGCGAACGTCCGTGAGAACCGATGATGCTGACGGATGGCTATGTGATGCTCCTGACGACGGCGCAGACTGTGCGGAAGGAGTCGCTGGAGCAGCTGCAGCAGCTGCAGTTCGAGATGGGAGACCAGGCGCGCTCTCACGAGATCCGCGTCTCCGAGTACGAGCGTCAGCTGGCCTACCTGCGGTCGCGGCTCAACGAGAAACAGCAGGAGGCGGAGCAGGCACGAGTCGACACCAAGTAGGTCCCGAACGCCTTCCAGTCTGGGAACAGTGGGAGAGTGCAGGCCCTGACTGCTTCTGGCCCTGACATTGCTGGGGAGGGTCCCTGGCGGATCCTGATGTGTTTAGATAGACGCTGCAGGGGAGGGAAGATCCCTGACTGCTCCTAGTCTAGACACAACAAGGGGTGGTTAAGGCGGACAGTAGTTATTGGAACGAAGTGTTAATATGGTTCAAACCCTGTATAGTTGGGTAATTTCAGTCATTTTGGGACGGCTTGGATCACTTGGTTGCGTGCTGCTGAAAACTTAACGTGTCGTAGAACTTCAAGCATCGAGAGTTCCAGCTCGAGCATCACGAGTGGCGGTGACAGATGGGAAGGAAATGTTCCCGTCGCATGGCTAAGTACTGTTAATCTGAAGCCAACATATGAT